AACTGCAATGCCTTGGTCTGACTCCTGGTTATTAGCTCCACAGATCCCTGGATCCCCAAATCTGGAAGTTGAATTATTTCCAGTTATAGAAGGACGTACGGACATCTGATTTTATTGTTTACAGCTCCACTCAGGTGGAGGTGCAACTTTCCCAGACTCGTCTGTGGTGATGTTTTCCTCTGAAAACAAGGACATTAAAGGTTGTTTATCATCTTAATGCTTCATCCCCGGAGGTTAATCAACCACAGCTGCTGAAAATCAGCTGGATTATTTCTAAAATCTTTTCTCCAAGCAGCAGATTTCCTCCCAGCGCCAGGGATCCTCGGAGCAGGTAGGCGTTTGAGTGGAGGGGCTTCATTTGAGACGATGTGGACGCCTGGTCTGGAAGGAGAGACGAGGCACTGACAAGCACCGCAGTTATCAATCATAGGCTGCTCTATTAATTTCATCAAGGCCCCAGTGTCTGCTGACATTAAATGACACGCCGGTTGGTCGATGGTGTCCCTGAGGTGGCAACACGGCCGGCCGCCGCTTTTGAAATGCAAATAAGGCTTTAACCTTAAACAGAGCCGCCTGGCCGAAATTATCTTTCTGCCTCCGAGTCAGGTACCTGCTCGCCTCGCTCTCCTCCCCCTCCACCAGCCTGACCCCTGGGGTACAGGAGACGGGAAAGAGCATCTTTGGAAGAAGCGACAGATAAAGGCAAAGGTGGCGGAGGGCGGGGAAGGGAGAGGCGGAGTGCTGACACCAGCATTCTGTCCCGACGAGGAGGCCGAGGGGCGACGCCGCCGAGCGTGGGGACCGAGATGTCTCAAGGACGGGGAGGCGAGAGGAGGGGAAAGGGCCGGAAAGAACACGGCTCACAGCGAGCCCGGCTGTAAGGTCGAGGAAAGCGGAAGATCTGGAACCAGCCTGGAGGAAGCGATCCGCTTAGCGGACAGGGTGGTTAGCGTTTAGCCGCCGTGGTTCTCCCTGAAGCTGTATCTGAACACCCCTTCCTGACACATGACGGACAAACCCAACGGTCCTGATGGTTCCTGAAGCAGACGACTCCAGAGACAGAACGGAGGCGGCGAAGGAAGGACGACCGATAAACAAACACGACAACCGTCTCTCTCTCTCTGTTTTTTTCTTTTTCAGCCTTTGCTATGTCTCGGGTTCATCCCGTCTCCTGAGCTTTCTGAGCGAAGCAACACGGAGCAAACTGAGCTCTGACTGGTCACACATCGCCTAAATCCCAGTAATAATGTGATCTGTAAACAACACCTTATACACTCAATGCCAAACAGGATCTATGACTCAACAAGAAACATGGGAATCAACGCAGACACCTTCGTATAGTCGACTTTATTAATTATTCAAGTCAACCTTGGCAGAAAATTGTTAATTAAGACAACATATTCCCTGCTTTAAACTGATGTGGTAATGTAAATGTAGTTTAAGCCCAAACCACATGTTATTATGTGGAATAATATGTTTAAATAAATATCCTAGTACTTCTGTCACTTATTGACATCAATCAATAAACTGCACCAACATTCATTTCCCGTTTACACGGTGGAAAACCAGGAATTCAATCCAATCCGGTTCATTTGTACAGCACCAATTCACCAATGGGAAAAGGCAGAAAGTCATCTCAAATCCACACATATACATTCTAATTGAGCCTAGTTGCATTACGATTGATTATTGTTGAAATTGGTTTCAAATGTTTCGTTTTCAGACTCCAAAGCTGACATTTTTAGCGTCATTTGGATGAAAACGTACGACCTGTGTTATCTTTGCGGCCGCATTTATACATTTTAAAGAAAAATGAAAAAAGCACATAGTTGTTGTCTCACAGTATGCAAATGTCCACAATAAGTACTGGATTGTAGAGCTTTGCATGCACGCTCATGCTCTGAGGCAAGGAGCTGCAGAATGAGGAGCTAAGCCTGGGATGTTAAGCATCGGGCGGGGGAGGGGGGAGACACCTGGCTCAGAAACTTAAGTGCTTCCACCAAGTATCATCAACCCCAGATTAAAAGCACGGAGGGGGAATAGTGGGAGGAGAGGGATGCAAAGTGAGGAGGAGGGAGTGATCGCGCATATGACAAGATGGTAGAAGGAAGAGGTGGGGGAAAAAAATATATCAAGAGAGGACTAGAGGAAGGAGAGGGATCTCTGGGAAATGTGGCTTGTAGAGTACAAATGTAAAGATGCTGGATGGGAAAATACATAGCTGAGCACATAAACCAACACTTTCCTGCTTGACGGGTAATTATAGGATGTTATTTCCTTCGGCAGGCGCATCCGTGATTGGTGACATATGGGGCCGAGAGTCTGCAGAGACGGATCTCCTCTATCCCCGTTCCGCACAAGCGTGGAAGCCTGGAACGGGGGAAATGAAGGCGGTTCGACGCTCGCCGGCCACTTTATTAGGTACAGCCGTCCAACTGCTCATCGACGCGAGTGTCTAATCGGGAAGTCACACCAGAGCAAATCGCTGCGTTTAGGAACGTCGGACGTGTCCGAGGTGATCCGCTGCGGTTCAAAGCGAGCATCAGAAAGAGTTCTGGTGCCGGATGGGCTGGGCTGAGTATTTCAGAAACTGCTGGGATTTTCACTCACAACCATCTCTGGGGTTTACAGAGAATCGGACACAAAGAATATTTTTGAAATCCTGTTGCACATGTTTTGCCCATTTTTGTATAAAGAACACTTAACCCTCACAGAACCATTACAGCAACAATCAGCGTTATAAGATACCCCCAAGCCCCCCCCACCCCCCCCCACCTTAAACCACATAGCCTGATTAGCAGACAATCTCCCTTCAGATGTCTCTCTAGAAGCTCGCCGATGAAGGACCTGCTGATTACTGAACACAAATACCGGCCTGATATCCTCTGTCGACGGCAAACAACGGGACGTGTGCGCCGCAATCTGCACTTTGTGCGTTTCCAGAAATCTGTGTTTTGATTGCGGAGCTGACTGCGCGCTCGCCGCTCTTTAAAGGAAGACGTCGCTCTCAAACACCCCCTCCGTAACCCCCCCCACCCTGTTTGCCGCCACTCCTGCAAATGGTTATTATTATCGTCATCAGCTGAGAACGGAGAGAAATCAGCGCCCTGACAGGCAATCTCTTCTCTTAGCACCACCACTGGAAGAAAGTAGCCGTCCGCACAAGAGACCCGACACGGTTGATGCTCCATGCAGCACAAACTAATCTTTGTATTTGTCTCATCAGAAAGTCTTGATCAACGGTTAGAGACTTTTGAATCTCTTCATTGGTTTCAGGATGGCTTAATACCTTTGCACAGAACTACGTTTTATTCCCCTCTCTGACTTTAGATGCACTTATGTGTTCATCCCACAGTTGTATTGACAAGAGGAGACTCACAAACTGCCTCACAAACACACACGCACGCACCAGAGCCACTACAGGACTAATAGGGTTTCAAGTGTTTTCACCCAAAACTCGAGCCGAATGACAACCAGAATCAGCCTGAAGAGCTCCCAGCATCCACTGCACCGCAAGCTGACCGACCGGCAGCTTTTCACGTCAAAGCTCCAGAGTTCCTTTTATTGGACAAAGCGAAAGTTTATTCATTTATGACAGATTCATCACAGCAACAAGAAAACAAGTACAGACGGATTGGCTTTGAATTTTGCCGATAAGAGGACGAATAAAATCTGGAAATCCAGATGTTTTTTCCAGACTCATAGTTGTTGGTGACAGCTTTCAGTTTTTAACTTTTCCTTTGGCACGGGATTGTTCAAAGTAGATTGAAGCTCATTAGATTTTTCAGTTTAACAGAAAAAAAATAAAAAAGGTTAAAGCGCTTTAAAAGGATTCGGAAGTGTTTCTCATCACTGAAGATGTCGAAAATATCAGAAAGCATATCGAATGGCCGACAGTGATGTTTAATGCTTTTTAAAGGTGTTTAGAGAATACAGCAGAAGAGACAAACGGTGCCGAAAAAAGCATCCAAATTCGATATTTATGGTAGTTCTTTCACAATAAAACACATTTGGAGGCTCTCAGTGGCCGTCTGCTGGAATCCAAACGTTTTGATGCAGTCGACAAGGCATCAGGTGAGAAAATTGTTTGCTGCCCTCTTTCTCTCTCCATCTACCCCTCGGTGTCCGTCTCTCTCTCTCTCTCTCGGTTAATGAGCTGTGCAAGGCTGCCATCATTCTGTGTAGCCATGTAGAGAGTCAAAGAGGAGGGATGAAAATCTCTCGCACAGAGAGACGGAAAACAGGTGAGACAGGCAGAGAAGAGAGCGGGGACATGATGTTTTCCCTCACCTCCTCCCTAATCAGGCCCGTCTCCGCACCAAACACCGCCGTGGCAATTAGACCTGACAGTACTCCGACTCCCACAATCCCCGCCAGGACTGGATGTTCAAACACTCGAGTAAACGAACAGAGCGAGGGGGAAGGAGAGGGGGGGACGGGAATGGGAAAGGAGGAGGAATACCTGAAAACCGGCACAGCATCGGGAAACAAAAAGGAAGAAAAAGAAAAGAAAAAAAAAACTGCCTTCGTCCCGTCATCCTTTTCCAAGTTAAATCATAGAAAGAAAATCATATATGTGAAAGGGGAGAATACCTGGCCACGCCCTCTTCTGGTGCAGCCTATCAGCTTATCCCAGCTGCTCACACTGGACTTGCTTAATGCAGTTCTGTTAAAACCATCCCTGTGTTGATTTGTCTGTATTTGGACTCACTACGATGCAGGAAAGTGAAATTTCTCCATTGTCCGATTGAACCGAAATACTTCAATTGATCAAATTTGCGATTTTAAACTGTGTTCCATTTGTGAAAACATAAACAAAGCATAATATTATTTATGGAAGAAAGACCACATGGAATAAAGCTGAACAATATTATTGCAATCCAGAAAAAACTAAAACTAAAACATATTGACGAGGTGAAAGCTTGATTTTGTTTTGCATAACTTTCAATTGGTTGCGATCAGTTTTAGAAATTTACACCGACTCGCTGATATTTATTTACCTTTGTACCGTCACCAGATGAGATGAGAGCCTTCCTCATGAAATAACGTCTGGATGGACCCAGCATCGGAAAATTATCTGCAAAAAGATATTGATAGCTTCCTTCACAATTGCAGACATTTTTTATTCGAGGGCACTGGAAATTAGTACGTTTTCAATCTGTGGCATGCCAGTTTAATTATTTCTAAAACTTGTAGGATTTATAGAAAGTGAATTAGAGAATCATTTTGGTGGAGGAGCTGCTGGTTTGCAAATTATTTCAGAAGAACAACAACAAATAAAACAAACAAAAAAATAAAAATAAAACAGGAACCTTTAACAAAGTGTCGGCACGTATCCGCTGATACGAGTTTTCAGACGTACTTTTCTCTAAAATAACTCACTGCTGACCTTAGAGGGTTACATTTGAAGGTTCAGTGTCTCGCCCAATACTTAGCGTGGCTGAAACGTTCTTGGCTGAGGACCAAGGCAGCGCTCAGGCTTTATGGTGGGCAACTCACCAAGCAGGATGCCTTGGTTTGGGGGGCGCTTTCCTGCAGATAAGCGCACGAGGCCGAGTGAAGTGAAGAGCCTCGATCCGGCTGATGAGAGTTCACATATGCGTGTCACCGCTGAAGCTTTTAAAGAAGCCATTTGAACCGCACACATCAATGTGCCGGCCCTCTGGAGCAAAGCGCAGAAATAACTCCGGATAAATCATTTCCTCTCTGAGCCACTTGCTGCGTTCAAATGCACTCGTGACCTTCAGCTCTGCCTTTTTCTACATCACATAGCCGGGGAATATAAAAGCTTATTAGCTCAGAACATTGTTGATACGTTTGTTCGAAGGCAGCGCACTAATGAGGCGTTGCAGGACGCCGGCAAGCCGCCGACTTTCCCTTTTGGAGATACTTCTTCCTCGCCAGAGGAGCGTAATGCACCGCTAATGGCATCTCCTCTGCAAATGGACAAATGAAAAGAGAGATGAAGTGGAATATTGCTTTACCATATCAAAGGAAGAGGCATCCGCAGATTGCGCGGCTGTCTGTTTGCATGTTGATGGGTGAGCGGGAGGGTGGACTCCTGGAGACGTGCGAGTGACGGACGCAGAGAGGAGCTGCCGGAGTGGAAGAGAGATAAAGAGGGAATTGGATGGCGGAAACACAGAGAAAGACAAACAAGCCGCATAAATAAAGCGAAAGCTTGACCAAACGACAAATAAACACATTTTTAATAAACTCAGGCGTGCAGGACAGACTGAAACAAATGCTCGGGTAGATTCCAGAATGCAATTATTATTACAGCCTTACATGCTTTTAGTCACGTTCATGGCGGCATGCGGCGTTTCCGACGTTGGATTTTCCACCTTATATTCTGGTTTCAGCTGCTAATCGGCTGCACGAGAACTCAAATTTATTTAGCGGAAAAAAACGTGAAACTCCTCCTAGAAACTGGGCTTCAAAAGAACGAGTTTCTGTCTTTTGGAGCCTCACATGGGTTGGGGTCCAGATATTAATCTTCCAATTTTCCAACAACACAGAATCATCATGTAATATTTAAAAACTTCCTGTCATCTCTAAAAGAAAATCTGGTCATTTCCTTCAATTTATTCTTGGTGCAGCGCCCCCCACAGGCCAGGAGGGGAGCAAGAAAAGGCTGGGATGTTCAGCAATATCATCAACACAAAGTTCAGGCTGTTTGATAGAGAATCGCTGGGACGTTTTGATCCATGCCGGATGCCGCCGATGTCCATCAACCGACTCCAACTGAGGAGAACCGGGAAGCCCAGCCAACGATGGCACACACCAGCCACCGAGATGGGAAAACACAGTTCCCCCTAAGCTGTGCACACACAACTCCATCAAGCTGCGACACACATCTCTGACTTGTTAAGGTACTATTTGTCAGCTGCTCCTGGAGTGGCTGTGTGACTCTGCCACTAATTGCCACTGGTGCTAAATTTAGTAAGAGAGATATGAGTCCTTTTGATCAGAAGCACTAAATCTTAGGGAAAAAAGAAAACGGCACTCAGCCTCGCAGGCAAGTTTACCCGCCTCTTCCGCGCTCTCCCCCATCTTCCTGTCACTGGGGAATAGGTGAACTATTCCATATGTCAGCCTTGTCAATCAGCAGCAGAAATATGGGAAATGCTGCCCCCCCCCCTCATCCCCTTTACCCAGCATCCCTCCGTCTCTCCAACCAAAGATCCCGCCTAGATCTTGTTTGTCTCCTCAAGAATTTCGTACGCGCCTATTAATTTTCATGACATCACGGGTGGTTTGGAACCTCCAAAGGCAAAAAAAAAAAAAAAAAGAGTATTAATCAAAACCATCTCAGCTGGGAATTTTAATTGTAGTAATAATCAATCATAATGAATGAGGCAAAGGTTTGTTGACAATCTCTGTAAATGAGACTCTGAGAAATTCTGCTTGTTGGACATTAATTAAAGCATTTAATTAATGTCCAACAGGCCATTTTTACCTTTCAGTTGGAGATGAACAGCAAATGCAAGTCAGGTCCGGCCTGCAGGACAGGAACATCAAATTGTGGCAGACCTAATAATAATAACAATCATCATCATATGAACATAATCTGAACATTTAACCCAAAGGGGAAATGTTTAGTTTGAACTGAAGCAATTCCCTTGAACAGCTTTTCAGAAAACAAGTAATCCTATGTAATTTTGATGAGAGTATGTGAAAAAAATAACAAAAAATCCCTTAAAAGCTCTGTAAAATATGCCCAAAAAGTTTCAGGCTCCTCTTTGAAAATGAATGCTTCATCTAATCAATGGCTTCGTCATTGGCCATCAATTCAGCTGCTGTCTGGTTTTTGATTGATTGAACAAACACCATCATAATTCACAAACTTTGAGCTGTTTGCTGGGCTGTTGGTGCCAGTCGCGGCAGTGAAAAGATCAACTTCATCTTCAGCAAAAAGCTCTATTTTGCTCGAGCAAAGCCAATAAATATTCTGTTTTAATGCCGCGATGGCATCGAGGAGCCTTTTATTTTAATTGCTGCCTTTTATATAACGTGAGCGAACGGTTAATAATAATGGTCTTTTGTGGGAAGATTGATCTGCTTAAGAAGAACATCCATAATGAAAGGACACAAATCATATTAAAAGCATCGTCTAAACATGACACACCAAGGCCAAGGACACAACGAGGATCTGCAGTTCTTCTCAACAGATAACGTTGTAGCATATTTCACGAAGCGAACGACACGCGAAACATAAAAAGCCACAAAATTGTCTATAAACGAATCTTTAAATACATTTAAAGGTTTGAATTTACAGACAAGTGAATCCAGAGAAGCTGTCGGATGGTTTCGCATCATTTTCGACTTGATCCGTCGATGTGGATCAGGTCTGTGTTTTGGTGTTGAAACCCCCCACGGTTCTAGAGAGCGCCACACACTTCGGTTCCTGACTCATGACACGGGGAAGGAAAACCAGCCAGCTATGAAACGCGCCCGGCCCGACACGCCAGGCGGAACATACACAAACACGGCTTTGATTATTCTCTGTGGACTGAGTGATTTCATTCTCCGGTGGGCAGGAAACAGGCGGAAACAGGAAGTAAAGGCCAGATCCGTGTTTCCCACTCAGCTCCGATGATGCTATTGGATGTCTCTTGATCCACAATGTTCAGCACAACCATTAATGTGAGGAGACCGACTCCAACGCTGATTCTGAGTCTCACTTTTTGTTCCAGTCATTGAAATATCAATAATCCTGTAAGCTAATGATTTAAGCCTTTTCTCTGCAGGTGTTGTGATGATGATATAGAAGCTTCTTCTAGGCTTTCAGGATAAACTGGCCGTCCTGCTTTTCTTTCCAATTTGCTTAAGACGTGACTTTCATGCAGGGTTCATCCTCCGCACAAGGCGGCAAATATTCAATCTGGTGGGATTTGAAGAGGAAAAGGCAAAAGTCAAGAGACAAAGTTTAAAAGAGCTTCTGAAAAATCTAGATTGATCGACTACCTTCAAGATTTCAACACAAAGAAAATCTGCACAAACCAGGAAAAATTTATTTGTTTTATGACTCGAGCTATGAAAACGCAATCACACCTCAACGGTAGAAAAGCTTAACCTTCTCTTTGGCATTGGTGTTGGTGTTGAAATGTCGACGCCCATACCTTCAGACACGACGTGTAAAGTGTGTGCAGCGCTGCAGTCGGGTGATGTAACACTTTGAGGGACCCAGAAATCGCCTCCTGATGAAACCCCGTCATGGAGCCTAGAAATCCCCGGCAGACTTTTATCACGGCCACGGATCTACCTGTCTGTCTGTTCTCATCAGCTGCGCCGCTGGCAGGCCGTCTTAGGGGGGCGGAGCGGGGGCTCCGGTGCACGTCGGCCTAACTCTGCCTGTCACCAGCGGATAGCTGACACCGCCCGGCTGCTCAGGCCCACTGCACCAAGGCCGCTCCAGGAAGAAAACCCAGGCAGCAGGGATTGAGGGAAAAAAAACAAACTCTCAGTTGTGTCACGAGAGATGTTTAAGTGGGAGTGAAGGAAACATTGATGCAAGACGTTTATGCGTGTCTTATCTATGCATCTGACACCCTGGACTGCTGCTGCAGACCCCCACATGGTGCAGGGGGATGAGGGTAAGTTACGTGCTCATGGGGACTGGGGCAGTTCTGGGAGCAAGTGTACAGAGGTCCTCATCAACACAACATGCATCCGGCAGACAGAACAAATTACACTGCCAGGACCGCCACCTACCCCTTCCTAACCCCACCCCCCTCCCCCACAGCCAACCACACCGCGGTGTCGGCACTGCGCCAGCGAGGCCTCTTCTGCAGAGGAAGCCAGGGCCCGATTACACGCCTGGTGGTGTTTATTTCCACCTACGAGCCCCGTGCATTATCATATCATCGACACCCAGACTCTGACCAGCACCTACAGCCTGAGACGTTTCAGAGAGTCAGAGCGATTCATCGGCTTTAGGCCAATGGATGGATGGCCGCCGCTTCTCAGGAAGGAAAACTCGACAGACAGAGAACGCTTTGAATCCACAGAGCTGCTCGTTTGACCAAGGAGAACGTCCATTCTCATGGAGCCGGCCTTATGCATGTCTGCATAAGCT